AACAAGCTGTCCATGCCAAGTTTTGGTGGTTTCGGTGGTCATTTCGCAATTTCGGCCCCTGAACGGGCTTTCAACTATTGTGTTTTACAATTTTCCTTCTAATTTTCTTACCGGAGATCCAATAGAGGTCCCGTTTTTTCCTAGGCTTGAACAAGCAGTCTGTGCCAAGTTTTGGTGGTTTCGGTGGTCATTTTGGAATTTCGGCCCCCGAACGGGCCTTTTAAGTCTTGTGCTTTACAATTTTCCTTCTAATTTTCTAACCGGAGATCCAATCGAGGTCCCGTTTGTTTGTACAAGTCTATTTAGGCTTGAACAAGCTGTTCGTGCCAAGTTTCAGTGGTTTCGGTGGTCATTTCGCAACTTCGGCCCCCGAATGGGCCTTTTAAGTCTTGTGCTTTACAATTTTCCTTCTAAGTTTCTAACCGGAGATCCAATAGAGGTCCCGTTTGTTCCTACAAGTCTAGTTAGGCTTGAAAAGGTTGTCTGTGCCAAGTTTCGGTGGTTTCGGTGGTCATTTCAAAATTTCGGCTCCCGAACGGGCCTTTTAAGTCTTGTGTTTTATATTTTTCCTTCTAAATTTTTAACCGGATATGCAATCGAGGTCCTGTTTGTTCCTACAAGTCTATGTAGGCTTGAACAAGTTGTCCGTGCCAAGTTTCGGAGGTTTCGATGGTCATTTCGCAATTTCGGCCCCCGAACAGGCTTTTTAAGTCTTGTGTTTTACAATTTTCCTTATAATTTTCTAACCGGAGATCCAATCGAGGTTCCATTTGTTCCTACAAATCTATTTAGGCTTGAACAAGCTGTCCGTGCCAAGTTTCGATGGTTTCGGTGGTCATTTCGCAATTTCAGCTCCCGAATGGGCCTTTTAAGTCTTGTGTTTTACAATTTTCCTTCTAATTTTCTAACCCGAAATCCAATCGAGGTCCTGATTGTTCAACACAACCAGACATATTAAATGAAATGCTTGTTGTGATTTGAAAATTAAATTATGAAAAATATACTTACAAAAGTGTTTGTCAATAAGATTCCTCTGATGGATAATCATTTTCATCAACTTGTTTGCCTGCCCGATCCTTGGTCATCCTCATAAACTTCTCAATCTCTTCAAATCTTTTGTTTTGCATTTCAACCATTTTAGCTTGCTCTTGTGCTACTAAGTTCTGGGCTGCAATTTGTTCTTGCTGGACCTCGGACAAATTCTTCAATGACTCTAGTTCTTTTTGTAGGCTCGAAACCACCTCAGTATGTGTTTGTGCAGTAACAGAAGATCTAGATGATGATGGTTTTGGACCAACTCCAAAGCCTTTTAAGTATCCCGATTTCTTTCCAAGAATCTCAATTGACAGTTGCTCCTGAGTTAAAGGTACTACCACAGGCTTTAAAGACTCTTCACGTCGCTTTTTCAAAGCTTCCTATCAATTTGTAAACAACTTCAACAAATACCACCATTTACATAAATATGTAACTCTATTAATTGGCATACTTACATGTAATTAACCACATATTGGGGCTACCCAATCCGACTTTCTCTTGCTCCAATGGGAATCTTTGTATAAGTCTACAAAGTCAGTCTTCTCGGTACCCTAATTCCATTTAAAAGTAAGCATACATAATTAATTTTCACACTTTTAAATATAATAAATGCATCACTTGTTTATACATTGCAGCTTGAAATGACTTGGAGCCCATTGTGTGATTATATGGTAACCTCGCTCGACTGTCCCTTGCTTTTTTAGCCAAGTTCTACAAAATTAATTGATTAGTAAAATTAAATTGAAATTACAACATGATTCTTTAAATTAGAAAATTTTACCTGATAATCGCCACCAAGCCATAAATGATCGATCATGTATACCCAAGCCTCAGAATCGACCCCTTTGTATGGTTTACTATAAGGGTCAACACCAACGTCTACCAAGTTCGAGTAATGAGTCTTCATCTTGTTACGCCAACTTCTGTAAAGAGTTTTACACTTTTTATTGACTCCTTTCCAAACCTCTTCATCTTCATCATAATCAACAATCTCAAATTTATTCTGCAAATATAATGAATGCTTTTATTAATATCAAAATGCAAGTAATGGTGATAATCTAATTATCTGAAAAGTAACAAATACATGTACCCAAACTACTTGAATGATTGGGGCTTTATGAATCTCATCAATCTTGTCCCACTTTTTTATACCAATGATTGGAGCAGCCATCCTTATCTGTAAGCCAAGTTCATTTGCAAATGGAGTGGCATAAGGCCCTACTAGCACCTTTGCATCTGCAGGGATCCAAACAGGAAGTTTTTCACCACCATTGTTAGCTGTAAGACGTATTATGCTCTTCTCTCGAGTCTGACCCCTGACTTGTCTAGAACGAGTACACAAACTAGTGGTAGATGGTGCATCCTGGGTAGTAGTTGCATTTGTAGATGGTGTAGCCTGAGTAGTAGTTGCATTTGTAGATGGTGCAGCCTGGGTAGTAGTTGCATTTGTCGGTGGTGCAGCCTGGATACTTAGAGCATTTGTAGATGGTACACTTTGAGTAGATGGGGTTAAATTAGGTGGTGCATGCTAAGTAGGGGCAGCAATTGTAGCTGCAGCTTGTTAGGAAGGTAGAGGAACTTTGGATGATATTGCACGTCGAACTTTACCAGGGCTTGCCATCTAGCACAACAACTCAACAATTACATGTGTGAAGCATATGTAAAATAAGCAATTACATTAATATCGATGGCTATATAATAGAATCAATATCAGAACATAAGTGATAACTAAACAATAACATAACATAAAAAAAAAAAAAATAGACAAAGAGAGAGAGAGACAGATAGAGACACACACAAACACACATATACAAAAAAAAAAATCTTTTTGAATTGTCATTGTACTCAAACTCAAAGGCACTTAAACAACAGTGTCATAAAAACATAAAAATGACACAACAATTAAAGTTCTATGTCAAAATCTATATTACAATCAAAATGATTATGCAGCTCATCTTCTCGGATAGTCAATGCTCGTAGTAATCATCTTCATTATCGCACCCCTCTTCCTCATCAACACCATCGTTGTGTGCTCGACTAACTGATTATAAAACCACCTCACTTGGGATAATTTGAGGATCAATGTCATTCCTATGAAATGAGATTGTCATGGGGTCTTCAACGCTCACTAGGACAGCATCAGTTGTTTCATTTTGTTGCAATACATTATCAGGTTCAAAGCCATCTTGTTCTGGTACATCCAATATTCCTTGATGTTCTAATCTTTCTACGACTTTCCAATGTCCGCCTAACTTTGTATCATCAACGTAGAAAACTTGTTTCACATGACTTGGTAAGACAAATGAATCATCTTTATACCATCGACTTCTAACATCAATACTTGTGCAATGTGTATCGGTATGTAATGTTCTATTGCTACTGGTATTGAACCATTTGCATTGGAATGAAACAACACGATGTCTAAGTATGTAATGCATCTCTCACACTCTATTCAAGTACCCATAAAAGTTAATTGTTTGTCCCTCATGCTCCCCTTCCATAACTAACCCACTATTTGGGCATTTATGACTACTATCACGATCCTTACTATGAAATCGAACACCATTAGAAATGCAAACTGAATACAAATTAGCATTCACACTAGGACCATTTGCTAATGACCACAAATCATCAGTTGCTTCTGGTAATCTTTGAGCTCGTAATTGGTTCATCTACATAACGACATCAATTTCAATCATTATGTTAGTATTCATATAAGTGTAGCTGAATAAAGTTTGAGATTACATCTTACATGTTCTTTGAACCACTTGGGGAATTCCTTTTTCTGTCTCTTTGCGATGTCACGTGCACCTTCATTTTCTAAAAGATTCTTGCGTTACCTACTTACAAACATATGATTCATAAGTAACATATTATATCGAAAACATAATTCTAAAAAAAAAAAAAAAACAATATTTAGAACGTACTCTAGATAATGGTCCAGCTCGAGGCTATTATTCAAGACAAACCAATGAGCCATTTCGCGTTCTTTTTTAGACACATTAAAAGCCCTTGTAATTAGCCCAAAAGGAAGAACATTTTGCGTGAAGACCTCTAACCCCGACTCATGCACACTGACATCAACATTCCATTCCTCTTGATTAAATATAGTTTCAATCCCAGCCAGATACATTGAGCAAAATGTGAGACACTCCTTGACAACATAAGCTTCTGTGATCGAACCTTCTGAACGAGCTCGATTTGCAACATATCCTTTTAAAGTTCCAAGTAGCCTATGAAACAAACAATAGAATAATCTTATTACACACACACTCACATTTTTATAAATATATATACAAGTTGTGATACAATTTAAGTATTCTAGTGTTTTAATAAGTTAGTAAGTACCTTTCAATGGGGTACATCCACCGATATTGCACAGGCCCACCAAAAATGGCTTCACGCGGCAAATGAATCGCCAAATGGACCATCACATCAAAAAACGCTGGTGGAAAATTTTTCTCTAACTTGCATAGTATGAATATTATGCGATCTTTTAATTTTTCCAAATTCTTCATCTTCAATGTCTTCGAGCAAAGCTCTTGGAAGAAATTTCCTAACTCAAATAATGCGACACAAATATCATTGTGAAGATATCCACGCATTCCAATGGGAAGAAGTCGCTGTATGAGGACATGACAATCATGATTTTTTAGGCCTGTTAACTTATCCCCTTTTGTGTTCACACACCTTGAGATGTTTTCTGCATAATCAGTAGGATACTTAATTGACTTTAAAAACTCATAGAAACCATATCTTTCATCTGAGGACAAAGTGTACAATGCTGGGGGCTTTTCAAAAGACCCATCGGCACGCCTTTTTAAGTGCAACTCCTTCCTTATTTTCATATCTTCCAAATTCATGCATGCTTTTTCTATGTCTTTGTTCTTCCCATCTATACTCAGTAATGTTCCAAGCAAACTATCACATATATTCTTCTCTATGTGCATAACATCGAGGTTGTGTCAGAGTTTAAGTGTTTTCCAATATGGCAATTCAAAGAAGATGCTTTTTTTTGTCCAGTTCAATACTGGATTTTCCCTTTTTCTTTTCTTATTGGTTGGATGCTTTCCAAATGGTTTGAATGTCCCTGAATCCAATTGTTCTAAGATTTGTTCCCCTGATAACTCCAAAGGCCTTGACACGAACTCAGTCTTACCATTATAAAGTCGACTCCTCCGCCAAGGATGGTCATCAGGGAAGTAACGACGAGCGCCTGTGTACCCTATCTTACCTCTCAACCGTTGTGAGGAAGCATTTTTGTTACAGGTGGGACAAGCCAAATAACCTTTTGTACTCCATCCTGACAAGTTGCCATAGGCAAGAAAGTCATTGATTGTCCACATAACAGCTGCATGCATTTGAAAACTTAATTCAGTTGAGGCATCATAAGTAAGCATACCATCTTCTCACAACTCCTTCAACTCATCAATTAATGGTTGCATGTAAACATCGATATCTCTCCCCACTGCTTGTGGTCCAGGGATAAACAATGACAGCATACTAAATGATTGTTTCATACATTTCCAAGGAGGCAAGTTGTAAGGCATAACAATCACAGGCCACATGCTGTACGAGTTGCTCATGTTTCCAAAAGGATTGAAACCATCAGTGGTCAACCCTAACCTCACATTTCGACTCTCTTGGGAAAACAAAGGATGTTGCCTATCAAAATCCTTCCATGTCTCACCATCAGTCGGGTGTCTCAATATCCCATCATCTACTCATTTCTCTTTGTGCCATCTCATATCTATTGCTGTTTTTCTCGACATATATAATCTCTGCAACCTTGATGTCAACGGGAAGTATCTTAAGGTCTTTTGAGGAATTTTTTTACCTTTTCCATCATTCAACTTGTATTTAGACTCTTGACAAATCAGATAATTCTCTAAATTTGCATTCTCTTTCCAGAAAAGTGCACAATCATACTTGCATGCATAAATCGACACATATCCTAAGCCTAAGTCACGTAAGAATTTTTTGGCTTCATAAAGGGTCCATGGAATCACTTGATCAATTACCGGTAAAAGGTCCTTTAATATCCCCAACAACATGTTGAAAGACTTATTGTTCCACTTGTTCAACACCTTCACATGAAACATCTTAACAACAAATGATAAAAGAGAAAACTTACGACACCCAGGGTACAACTCTCTTTGAGCATCATTCAACAATTTGTTAAAGTTGGGCACATCCTCTTTTTCAACATTATTAGCCACATCATCGTCATTGTCATTGTCATTGTCATTGTCATCGTCCTCCGCATCCTCTTCATTTTCATCATCATTTATGGTAGTCCCCATGTGAACATCTTCTAACAAATTTAGGATTTCATCTTGATCTTCGCCTGTCTCTGCTTCCATTCTATCCCCAACACTTCCAAAGTCATTGTGGTTGTTATCATTCAATGCATGAGATTGATTCATGGGAACAGATTCCCCGTGATGCACCCAAGTCTTATAAGAAGGGGTGTAATAACCCTCACCACTGCTTACCGCTAAACATTGATTACCGTTAAACTGAACTGATCATGACTGATAATTGAACTGATTAAAGTACTGAACTGACTTATTGAGAACTGGAACTGAATTGATTGAGTATGTATGTTAATCTGTAATCCATCTGTTTGACTGTTTGACTATTTGACTATCTGTTCATGTTTTAGTGTTTAACCTGCTAATTGAAGGCCTTATCGACGACCGAACCGGGAATTGATTAATTTTTCTCGATCATCACGATTTATGCGATTTTATGGTGTATCTATCTGAAATTTGATTTAGTATGATTAAATTAGATTAAATATTGATGGATTGCAAGTTTTGGACTTAATTACCATTAGACCACTTAGTGGCCACTACTTCACACATGTTGAGCCTTGTATACACTTCAATCAAAACATTTCTTCAGCTCATTTCTTGTGCTTAACCGACCAAGAGAGGGAGAGGGAGAGAAATTGAGTTCTACCTTGTGAATTGCTTGGAAATTGAAGAATTGTTGAAGGGTAGATTTCATATTTGAGCTCCCAAACCTTGAATATAAGACTAAGGTAGGAAACTCATCTTCTTATTGATGTCATTGAGCTAGTTCTTGCATGATTCATGCTTCATTGTAGAGCTAAGTCATGAATTGGTTCATTAATGGTGAATTGAAGCTCATTTCATGCATGCATGTTTGAATTGATGAGTTTTGAGTTGAATTCATGGTAAAATTGTACATGCATGTTCATAACTTTGTAATGGTCCATGTTTTCAACTTGTTTTTGGATCAATTGGCTCCTTAGAGCATCAAATTGGAACTTCAAAATGATTTGAATTCATGCATGTTTGCATATTCATATTGTTCTTGAAAATGGTTTGAAATTGGATTTGAATTAAACACCCTTGGGCTTTGATTTCTCAAATTGAGTTTTGAATCATGTTTAACTATGAGTTTATAAGAGTTTTCCAGAAAATGGGCCCAAGAGGATCGAAAATTATGCTTTTGAACTTGGTTTTTGGCTTGGAGGTGCAATCTGGAATTTCCAGATTTTGCACTTCCGCTAATTTATTTTATAATAGTACACATATTAACCACAATTAATTAGTTAGGTTAATTAGAGTTTGTTAATTTTACAATCAAAATTAGTTAAGTTAATTAGTGTTTAAATTTCAATATTAACTTCTATAACTTTATTTTCACATACAAACAAACACTACAACGAATTAAAGTTTTATAGATAAAATATTTTAATTATAAAAAATGTTAT